CCCCAAAACCCCAAAACCCCAAAACCCCAAAACCCCGCATTGGCAGATGATGATTGAATAACATATTAATCCCAAATAAGAAGGGATCCAGAGGCATCGATAGATGCAAAGCTGGAAGCCCCTGGTTGCCATTGGATTGAATTAATACATGAACTGTGGTAATCAGGATAGATCTCTTCAACCTCGATACTTTCTCCCTTGATCTCAAAGATGATGACATTTCCGTGACTGGATCCTACAGCTCCATAAGTAGCAGTTGAATTCATAGTCGATCTGTTAGTATTCGAGCCATTGATATACATGTCATTTTCAAACTCAGCAACTTCTTCATATTTACGAATATCGATATATTTCAGTGTGTGGTCTCTCGAATTTGTCAGGATATAGTTACCATTAGCAGACATAGTGACAGAGGTGATGGCATCAGCATGTAAATCCTTAATTTCATGAATTTTCTCCTCATTCTTAGCTCACCAGATTCTGAGGGTTCCATCTAAATGACCTGAAATAATCTCAGTTTCAGCAGGAAGGTTATCAATAGTGTAGCAAGCTGAAGTGCAAGGGAAAGTTTTAGTAGCAACTCCTTTCACAAAGTCCCAGAGTCTTATAGTCCTATCAGAAGAAGCAGTGATTAACTTCTTAGCGGCATATGAGAAGCTACAAGAGTTAATATTGTCACTATGACCTGAAAAGGAAATAGCTTCTCTCATTGTCTGAATTTTCCAGAGCTTAATGGTTCTGTCCAAAGAGCAGGATGCCAAAAATTGGTCGTCTGGACTAAACTTTAAGCAAGTGATAGATTTCTTCTGCTTTGCAAGACTTCCGTACTCCTTTCCTTGCTCAACATCCCAGATTTTGATGATCCCGTCACCTCCACCTGATGCGATATTGCTTCCTTGAGATGTATAGGTCAAACACATGGCTTCCTTTGAATGTGCAAATAAACTATGCCTAGTTTTTGACGGTATCTTAAAGTACCCATCATTTATCATAGAGGACAGGTCGAGCCCTGGTTTCACAGAATTAGAGACACCATACTCATCATGGTTTTTCAAGATACTATCTTGCTTTAATTTAGAAGCTTCTTCATATAACTGATTGGCATCATTCATTTTCTGTACAACTTCTTCCTGCAGTTCAACTATCTTCTTAAAGTATAGGGTATTATCCTGCTTTAGTTCCTTAATCTTTCCATTAAGGAGTTCATTCTCAGCCTTACACGCATTAAGTTCTTTCGTTCTAATCTCGACTTTCTCCTTAAGATCAGTAAGGACAACTCTCATAGATTCATTTTCGGCTCCAAAAGTCTCATTCTTTTTCTTAAGTTCTTCATTTTCCTTCTCAAGCTTTGTTACCGCTTCATTGGCAAGTGTGAGTTTCTTATAAGTTTCACGGAGGTCTTCATTAAGCTTATTGATCTTCTCAGAATTGCCACTGCCTACATCAAGGCTTGGAGAAAGATTTGACATTAAGGATTGCCTCAAAGAGTTACTCTTGCCTTTGGTCTCCTTCAGGCTATTAATAAGGACCTGGTATCCCTTAATAATATCACTATAGATCTCTTTCTCTTCTCGATCTCTGTTCTTGATGGCTTTGGCGATCGAGCTCTCTGTTTCCCGAATCGGTCTGATTTTCATATTTATTATTAAGAGTCAATATTATAGTTTAAATAAGGGGTTTTGGGGTTTTGGGGTTTTGGGGTTTTGGGG